TCAAAGATATAGGTAAAGAAGTCTACATATCAGCTAACTGAAAATTTTCAGTAATTAAAGTAATAGAGATTGCAAATACACATCCAATGAAAGTGATATGCAAATGAAACTGGAAGTAGAATTAGTCTTAGAGCATCATAAGAAGGAAAGAAACACAGAAAAAATCATTAATAGAAAGACATTAATTGTCACCTTTTACTAATCATATGCAGAACTATAACATAATACTAGATTAAACATGTTCCAAAAGCACCAAACACTTGTTTAAGCCTTTTCATCATCAACATGAAGAGCAGTCATGTCCGTGATTTTCGCCACTACCTCTTTCGATTCCTCTCTTTTTTAGCCTAAAGTTGTTTGACCAGAAAGTTTTAAACCCTTTTAGTTAAACCAATTTAGTAAAAAAATATGGGGTGAATCCAAGTTAAAAGTAATAAATTCTAGATCCGAAATTAATCAACTTAGACGGTATGGGTTTGCGTCCAAGTCAACAAATGCTGAGTTAATGCTCAATGATTAGTAATCAATACGAGGACGAAAACATACAATAAATATGATAAATGACATTAAATGAAATAAGATGGGATTTGTCATCTAAATGTTGGATGAGATGGATGATTCCTTCTTCTGACTACCACGTGGTAGACAAACGAAGTGGATTATGTGTTCTTGGATCTTGTGAGCCAAAAAGGAATATTATGTGATGGAACCAAACAAGAGAGACAAAACCAGCTTTTGTATATTCCTAATAGTCAACTCTTTACAAGGTGTTCTTTCATAAAAGTTCCGAGCCCCTTTTTGTTTCCTCTCTCTTTCTATTTATAAGGGATCTCCCTAGAAAACCCTAAAGAAGTACAATATGGGGGAATATTCAGTAGAATATTCTTATTCATAATCCTAGGAATATTCTAACAGTTGCAGCCGGTTACCCTCTGCTCGACCTCGACACCGGTCTCTCCCTTTGAGCGACTCCTCGCCACTGGACCGTGCTTGGTTCGGACCTCGACCTCGGCTTGTCTGTCTGCATTTGCTGAACTAAATATAATTTTGACCCATACAAAAGTGTTTTTCCACAACCAATGATCCCTCCAGCGAACTATCAAAGCTACCACCGCTACCAACAACCACTCTGTGAAATCCCACAAATGGGGTCCGGAGAAGGTAATGTGTACACAGACCATACCCCTACCTTACGAATGAAGAGAGGTTGTTTCCGATAGACCATCGACACAAGAATAGGGACACAATAAACAAACAATAACAATAGCAAGGAAATAAGACAACAGAAGCAAATGACACAACGTGCAACAACGAAGATCTAGGAATACGAAGCTATCCCAAAGCTACGGGATGCAATCAGATCTTTATGAATCTCCTCCTCAATCTCATAGTTAACCAACTTTTGAAGATTGAGACTAATTTGCCAGAATGCAATGTACCTCATCAGCAATGATGCCATGAAAACACTACCAATATCCACCTTGATCTCATTGTTAACCATCTTTTGAGGACTAAACACGATTTTCCAGTATGCAGCAATCCTCATTTTCAATTCAAAAGCTTGCTCAACAACATCTTTACGCTCCAAATGCAATTTGCAAACATCAATTATTCCAATTTCTTCAATGTCTATTGTCGAGCTCCCTGTAGAGTTTTTCCAGAACTCCATAAATCGCGTTTGTTGAGCCATGAGCTTGCTACAAGTAGCTACATACTCGGGATTAATAGAATTTCTGTGGCTGTAAAATTTTTGAAATTTGTGGTCATAAACCTGCTATAGCAATTTTATGATTAAAAATGTTACCTATTAAGGAAATATTGAAAGGTGTCAATCTTTTTTAAACTAATTAATAAGAAAATAGTGTCAATCTTTTTGAAACAGAACCCATTAACTTAACAAGACTAGAACTCCGAACCCATAAGCTCTAAATCCTGGCTTCGCCTCTGCCGTCAGGAGCTTTATCAACCTTTGTCACAACCACTATGTTTCGTCCACTTTCTTTGACATCTTAATGTACTCACAAGTAGTGAAATCGTCCGAGCGTGGCTGATAGAACATTCAAAATTATGCTTTCCACTGGTGTTAAATATTTCATCATCATTTCTGAAATTTGTTCAAAGGTATCTTTTATTTTTCCATGAACCGGAACTCTAGGTATTCCAAGCAAATCCATGATAGTCAAGTCAGGCACACTATTCTTCTTCACTATGGTTTGATTTGGTATAGAGCAAAAAAAACCCGAACCAACCCGATATACAAATATATAGTTTTTATATAAAATTTTCTTTAAAAAATGTCTAGAAATATTTGGGATTCTCTTGCGGGATATAAATTTTAATAGAATATGTAGTGCTCCATATTTATTGACCTTAAATAATGGGTTGTATGATCACTTTCTTATCAAGTGTTACTGAAATGCGTCTATCTCTTTGTTCTTCCATATTCATATCATATGTTAAGATCTATTAAATTCTTATATCTTTTTCGAATGTGAAGTGGTTATTAATATTTAGGTATCATATTGATTTTTTATGTTTAATTACTAAATTCGGTTAACCTGAAAGTGTATATCAACGAAAAATTATTGACAGACGATTAAAAAAATAATTATTATGTGTTACTAATAGAATTCTCCCATAATAATATTTTAATCAACAATATGTTTGTCAATTTTTTATATTTTTACTAAATAGATATATACTTATCAAATATTTAACAAAGTAAGACTGTAATTATATGTAAGTAACAAAAAGTCCGAAAACCTGAAAAACCCGACAAAAACGAACCAATCCAAACCGATATAGTTGGTTTGGTTTGGTTTTGATAAAAATCGAACCAACCCGGTCCATGTACACCCCTAACTACAATGATAGGCAGCCAGGGGCGAAGCTAGAGTGCCGGGAGCTGGTTCGGCCGAACCCAGTAGCTACCTTGTATTTGTCTTAAAAAATTCATTGAATATGTATAAAGTATTAAATAGAACCATGTAACTCAAAACGATTAGAATCCTGAACCCATAAACTTGAAATCCTGACTCCGCCTCTATAGGCAGCTAAATGCCTTCTTGCATGATGCTAAGTTGGCTAAGCTTGTCCACAAATTCGAGGAGGGGTCAAATTCCATGTTTGACGGATGAAACAAGGGGTGCATGAACACCAGAAGCTTTTTGTTCTACTTCTGTAAGATGTTTTTGATCTTCTTCTTTAAGTGCATATTCACTAGAAGAAGAGTCATTCATGATTTGCTTGAATGTCATGGTTAGTAAAGTAAGGAGAAATATGTTTTGTGGTTTCTCTGCAATTTGTACTCTCTCCGTTCACTTTTACTTGTCCACTATACTAAAAATACATTTTCACTTTTATTTGTCTACCGTACTAAATCAAGAGAAAAACAATCTTTTTTTTCATGTTTTACCCTTACCATTAATTACTCATTTTTAAAATTACTTCCCAAGACTTTTGAAATGCTATCATTATTAGGGGTTATATGGTAAAATACATATATAACTCATTTTCATGTTTGTAAACTCATTCTATCGCTACTAAAGCATGTCATTTGATCATTATTCATTATTCATTTATGAGCATTAATTATGTATAAACCCGTTAATAATACATTCATCAATCAAGAACGCCTATTGCTTTTCGAAGACAATTAGTGCACCACAAAAACAGTTGAAATTCTTCTGCAGATGGCGTGAACGGCATATCAAGAGACAATACTTAAGGGAGTATAATTTATTAATGTTTCTAATTCCCCCTTAAAAAACTGATCTCTTTAACTAAGAATCCGTCGGTTGCTTTTTTCAGCCACATTTTATGTAATCATAAGAAAATCGTTTAGCATTCCAATTCTTTTAGAATTTTCTCAACCTATCACAAACATACTGCAACTGGCTTATGAAAGGGACATTTCTCACATTATTTTGCAACAGGCTCTAAAATTACAAAATTTATCTTTAGTTTGCTGATAAGAAATAGTGAAGAGTCTGAAGACTTATAGCCTGTTTGGCCGAAGCTTTTTTAAAAAGTACTTTTTTGAGAAGTGTTTTTTTCAAAAGTGATTTTTTAAAATGTATTTTTGGTAAGAATTAGTTTGTGTTTGGCTAATTAATTTGAAAAGTACTTTTGAGCAGTAATTAGTGTTTGGCCAAACTTTTGAAAACCGCTTCTAAGTGTATTTTTCTCAAAAGTGCTTCTCAGAAAAGTGCTTTTGGATAGAAGCTACATTTTTCTGCTTCTCAACAACTGCTTTTGCTTCTCCTCAAAAGCACTTTTTTTTCCTTCTAAAAGCTTGGCCAAACACCTCAATTTTTGGTCAAAAGCACTTTTGGCCCAAAAAAAAGCTTGACCAAACAGGCAATTATTAGGGAGACCATTGAAATTCGAACTCAGTGATTCTGCCGTTTAAGTTTGTTCTTCTGACTTCTTAGTACCAAGTTGTCATCTTAGGAATTTAAGACGTTAGGTTGAATGGTTCCAGAAACTACCAAAACGTGCAGCAGCAACACACTTCTTGTTTGAGTTAAGAAGAAGAAATTGCAAAAAAATGAAGTACACTTAGTTCTAGTAAAGTTCCATAGTGGAAGAGATAAATAGTATCTAATTAAAAAGAACGCTGTATGAGAGATGGACAAACTCTGCTTTGCCACCGTGTCGCAAATCTGGCGGATGTTATATTGAATGCAAACAATTACAAAAGCATCACCTGTTCAACTACGTTATGGATATTTCAAGAGTTTTTTTAAAGATATAATTAGGCTAAGTACGAATCATTGTTACAAAAGAGCAGTGAGTACAGTTAAAAATCTTTTATATGCACTAGTTATCACCAAAAAGACCCATATAAAAGCAGTTAAACATCAGCAAGTTAAGAAGAGTATAAGAAGCAACAACATCTAGAAAACATTTTGGAAGAGCTTGGAAAAGAGTATAGAGGCAGTGGAAAAGTTTTGTCAGCTTCCATATTAAATTTCTAAAAAGACCCAAAAACAGCCACATCAACACAATCAAGATTGGCTCTTTTAAAGAAGCCTAAAAGATAATATTGGCATAGTACCAATGGGCTTGTTCACGAATGTAACCATCATGACTCAAACAGTAAGCTTCTGCAAGTAGATTGCGTTCAATGTACATTGAAAACTAACACTCCCATCCTCAGTAGTTAGCAACTTTTACACACTTTGACAGTACAAAACAGTTATACTTTCCTCTCTATGTACCAATAGCAGAAATTAGAGCAATGGAGAATCTACTTCACTACATTAAAAGTGGCACGAAGGTTGGAAATCATCACTGGACACTCGCCTTTTTCATCATAGTCAGCAAACTCATCTCCTGACAAATCGATACCTTCAAATTTTGTTCCCTCGAGCTGCATTAAATGTATCGCATTAGAACTGGCTCCACATTTCCCATAACACAAAACCTAAGAATTGGAAATAAAACCTAACTGCAAGTGTCTTCAGCAACCTAAAAGGATTGTTACAAAGATAATCTCACGAGAAGGTTCACAAGTATGCCACGTAAAAATAAATTCAACAAAATAATGGATGTTAATCATTTCGTATGTCATCAGACAAAAATCAGTCAAGTTTATACCCATACAATTCTAGGAGGAAGAGTGGATCCAAAGACAGACAGAACATTTTCTGTCGTCAGATAGCCAGAATCAGATGTAAGCAAGCATTAATAGCATTACAACTTCCTGTCAATTGCAAATAGGAAGGAAGTGCATAACTAGTGTAAACCTTACAGTGGTTTTACCCATATGTCAAGTTCCGCATGAAACTGTACTTATTGCTGTCACAAGCATGTAATACCATAAATCTTTCCTTTTTTAATAAATACATATTACCATAAATCTTATAAAAGAGATGGATCATACGTAGGAGAGGGTGTGTTTTGGGGTTCGGGTGGGTGGTTAGGGTATATCAAGAAGAAACATGCAGAATAGCATAAGGTCCAAAGCATCCTGGGCAAAGAAACTTCACAAGTTACAACCTAAAGTACAGGACATATCCAGTGCCTCACAAATGGTCTTCAGATGCTTCACAAAGATGAGAAGATGGTTCAAATAGTATCTTCTTAAGCACCGCAAATTTCACTGATCTCCCATAATCAGGCCCATTATGCTTGTGAATGCTTTCAACCGCACAAACATATGGATGGCATTTTGTGCAGTTCACAACCTAGTCAAAATTAAATCCCCCTAAGAAACAGAAAAAAAAAAAAAAAAAAAGGCATTTGAGCTTAGGTAGCGATCATATCCAAGGATGATGATCATCACTTATCAAGACAATGACGTCACTGGAAGGGTGGGAGGAAAGGCTGGAGACAAGCAGAAAGCATGCTGCTCTTAAGTGGAAATTGAATTTCAAGTTGATATTCCGAAGACAATTTCAAAATTGAAGACCTATTGGAATCAGCATAACACTCTAGTATCCACTCTGTAGGAAAGAGAAGAAGACCTGTTCATGATTTAGAATGGAATACGCTATGAATGACCAGACATGATAGAGGTAGAATGTACTAGAAGAATGCTTTTCCTAAAAGTTAATTAGGAGATTCATCACCTGGTTTAAAGAAACAAGAAATTTATTCAAGGAATCCCAGCATACAAATCAGGAACACATGTAGGAAACAATAGGGCAAAGAAACTTTATGCTTACATATAATAGTTCTACAACGTTTCGGTAATGAATCTCTCTACATTAGAAAATACCAAACCAGAAAGCAAGGGAAAAGCTTACCGATTCAGCTTGCCATTCTCCCAGGAAAGCAAACTCCAGAGGCTCAAAACCCCTGCACTCAAATAACATCAGGGGTGCATATTTTCCAGCTTGACTATCACCGTGAGTCAGTGCGCGGCCTCGGCCAGTGATCATGGTTACTGTACCATCCCTGCTACAGAACTTGCACTGAAAGCAGAAGTCACAAAGCACTTAATAATCAATCAAGCCTGATACAGCAACGATAATAACGAAGAAGAGTTGTAATAGCAACAGAACATCAAAGAAAAATGAATTTTTTTTTTGAATAACTGAGGTTCAAAATAGACTTTAAGGATATTAAAGTTATTCAAAGTGATACAATTAAGAAAAAGCAGATAGAGGCAGTTATTGCAAATTAACCACTTCTGATGCTATAGATTTCCTAATTAACTCCTTACCTCAGCTCATATTTCAAGCTGTCTCGGTAATGTCAAAATTCATAGTGAAAACGAGCTGACTGTGTTTTCATATCTATATTATCACAAATAACAGTCAAGAATACATAGGCTTCAAGGACATCATGGTTATTCAACATGATAGTATTAAGAAACAGCAGATGGGCATTTACTACAAACTAACAATTTACGTTATAGCTTTCCTACTTACTCCTTGTCTCACCTCAAATTTCAAGCTCTCTCAGACTCAGTGATGTTAAATTCTTAGTGTAACTAGCTGAATTAAGTTCACTGTGTTTTTCATATCTATATTAACACATAAAACATTCAGATGTACATCAATATCTCTCTAAGTGGTATAAATATTGTCAAAGATAAGGTAACAGGAGGATGGGTCACCTTCTGAATAAGGTGGGTCGTGCCCTTGCCTATGGGAAGAGGAACAGTGTCACTTAAGATCACGTAAGTCTCCTTTTGGGTGATCTCACCACAATTGCCACATTTCAGCTGCACAATTTATTTAAAGAAAAAGAAAGCATTTAATGGACTATAAAATAAATATTAATGGAGGACAAGAAATGGATAATTTCAGCAGGCAAAAGCAGTAAAAAATTAACTTATGGAAACAACACTATCTCATACGAACATAGCTGAAAGGAAATTTAAGTAGTAGCATATCTAAAAAGATACAGAGTGAAAGTAGTACACATTAAAAATAAAACGAAACAAGGTTCACACAAGATGGTGTAACATTTCAGAACGTCTTAAAATGGAAAAAGTGGCACATAATTTAAAACTAAGTAATAAGACTTCATACAGTGGGAAATAACATTAAAAGATAAAAGAAAAGGTGGTCTTGGGATAAGAAACCTTCAACTACATAAAAATAGCTCGATTATAAAATGGCTTTGAAGGTATTCAGAGGAAGAGGTAAACCTTTGGAAAAGTTTGGAAAAGGGTAATTCAATCGAAATAAGTAAAGGCCATGTCACACTGGTATAGTTACGATGTAAGTGTCTGGAATCACATCTCCAAGCTGGGATATTTGTATAATAGGAATATATTGCAGTTAAAGTGGGAGATGGTAGAATGCTACAATTTTGGCAGGATTCATGGCTGGGACGTTTGCCACTAAATTGAAGTTTCCTGATCGATTCAGTCTTAGCAACATCTCAAAGGCAACTATTGCTCAATTGAGGGAAGGAAATGCATGGAACTAGGGCTTCAGAAGTCCACTTTTCAATTGGGAGTCAGCAGAATGGCCCTTTTGCTTCATGAGTTAGAGCAAGCCTTATGAAGACCGGAGGAACCAAATTTTATAATGTGGAATGGACAGAAAGTACCTTCTCTGTAAAATCTTGCTAGAAAGCTCTACGAAGCAGAGGTACACAAGAAAAGCATTCTTGCCTTCGAGACAAATATGGAGAGCTAATGTCCCACAAGATGTTGCATGTTTTTGGTGGACTCTATACTATACTGCCTGGTACAAGTAAATTTGCAGCTGAGAGGACTAAAACTTTGCAGCTGCTATCAGTGGTATGAGGATACAGAGAAAAGCACTACGGCAGTCATATGCTCCTAGATTACTTCATTGCCGGACAGCTTTAGGGCCTTTTCCAAATCTATTTGGTGTAAAATGGGTCCCCCACCAGTCAAGGAACTCTTAAGCTGTTGGGGATACAACGAACAAAGAGCTCAAAATATGGAGAACTATTCCAGCTTCTGTATTGGGGACTGTATGGAAGGAGAAAAATCAAAGATGTCTCGAAGGCAGATCTACTGCGATGCAGGTCCTGAAATATAAATGTTTAAGGCAGTTGGAACTTTGGTGTAAGTTGGATAATGCATATGAGGAAAATAGTGTGGTAGGGACTTCACCTTCTTTTGTATACAGGTCTTTTTGTGCAGAGTCTCTACTCACTCTTGTAATACCAGCACTAACGTAATGCTAGGATTTATTTGTGTCAAAAACAGACTTCATACAGAACACAAACAAAATAGACACAAAACTTCTGAAGCTAAAATAGTAATTAGGAAAAGAGAGATCGTTCGAGAAAGAAAAAAATGAGAAGATGAAATTGGAATGAGCTATCATAGAGCCATAATCAAATAGCTAGAATGCATCATCAGTAGATCAATCTTCATGGAAAAAATCACATAATATCAACAATCAGACAGACACACACAAAAAAAACACACATAAGTATGTTAGCAGCAGTTCACTTAAAGCTGCCAAAAAGACTAGATCCACATTTACTATAGAGTCGACATCAAGTATATCAAATCTTCATCCAGAAATCACAGACATAGCAATAGAGTAACTAAAATTTTAGAGAGAGAAAAAAAAGATCATTTGACAGCGAAAATCATGAAAATAAAGAATACGAGAAATAGCAATGAGCTACCTGAATAACCCTAATAAACACCTAAAAGGGCAAAGGCAATCCAGTATTTAGAGTTTAGTTAAAGTTAAGTGCAGCCTATATCAATAAATCACATAAACTAGCATTAGAGTAACTACAAGATTTAGAGGCGTTTAGGTCTAAATAAACACCTAATAAGTAGAAGTAATCCCGTATTTTAGCGTCATTAGTTAGAGTAAGTGCACTTTACTCTATATATGTCTAAATACAAACACGCACATCTACTATTGAGTCAAAATCAATTAGACCAAATTTGTATGGATAAATCACGTAGACATCATGAAATAGAGTAACTACCTGAATCACACGCATGCAGACAACACACACACACACACACACATTGCAATGAACTACCTGAATAGACCTAAATAAACACCTAGTAAGCAAAGGTAATCCAGTATTTTAAAGTCATTAGTTAGAGTAAGTGCAATTTACTCTCTATATGTGTAAATACACACACACATACACGCACGCATGCACACAACAAAATAACGTAGAGCCGTTTAGGTCTGAATAAACACCTAATAAGCAGAAGTAATCCAGTATTTTAGAGTCATTAGTTAGAGTCGTTAGAAATCACGTAGACATCAAGCAATAGAATGACTACCTGAATCTCACACACGCAGAAAAAAACACTTACACACACACACACGATGCGATGAGCTACCTGAATAGACCTAAATAAACACCTAATAAGCAAAAGTAATCCAAAATTTTAGAGTCATTAGTTAGAGTAAGTGCAGTTTACTCTCTATATGTGTAAATACAGATACACACACACATCAATTAGATCAATCTTCATCGAGAAATCACATAGACATACAAATGCGATAGAGTAAAACAATTAACGGCGCTTAGACGGAGACCTTGAAGTGGTAAGGGAAGTCAGGATCAGTAACACCGCCTTGCGGCTGAAGGTTAGTGAGATTCTCAAGCTCTGCCGTGATCGCCAACAAGAAATTCACCATTTTTTCTGCTTCGAATCAACGCTTTCTCTCTGATTGTTCTCGAAAATGGAGAAGCGATTCGAGGAAGATTGATATTTATACCCTGTGGAGGGTAAATGAGTAAATTTTACTATTTTGTCGTTGGATAAATATCTAGAAGCTTTAGGGAAAAAAAAAATGATTGCAATTCGTTTGGTTAAAATTGAAGCATACTGGTCAACGGGTCAAGTGCACAGAGCACATTTTGGGGGCAAGTGCACAAATAGCCATTGTCAAATATGTTATTTAGAGATTAGTTGTTTATTTTTTTCCGAAAGTTTAAACTAAAATTTTTAACTTTAGGACGAAATTCAGGATCCAAAGACTAATTCCTAAATAGAAACCCTTTAGAGTGGCTACCTTGTGCCATTTCTACCTGATTTGGGACTAATCGAAGATTATAAATTATCGTGAGTATAGCCACTTCGGAAACGAAGTTATAAAAATAGAGGAATTTTCAGAAACCACTATTGTTTAGTGACTATTAACTTCGTATAGCTACCATATACATAATTACTTCCTGTAGCTACTATTTAGTTGTTACGGTAGTGTATTCGTTGTATTCGCGTAGCGTATTGTATTCATGAATACAGCAGCAAAAAGCGCATAAAAATCAGGGCAGTCTAGCTGTACGTGCATGCATCACATGTATTCGTGCCATGTATTCATGAATGCAGTAGCAAAAAATGCCTAAAATCAGGGCAATCCAGCTGTACGCGCATGTATTCACATGTATTCGCGCTGTTGTACAACAATAAAAAGAGCCTAAAATCAGGGCAGTCCAGCTGTACGCGCATGTATTCACATGTATTTGCGCCATGTATTCATGAATACAACAGCAAAAAGCGCCTAAAATAAAGGCAGTCCAACTGTACGTGCATGTATTCACATGTATTCGTGTTGCTGTATTCATGAATACAACAGTAAAAAGCGCCTAAAATCAGGGCGGTCCAGCTGTACGTGTATGTATTCACATATATTCGTGCCATATATTCATGAACATAGTAACGACAATCACCTTAAAAATAGGTATGTCCAGCTGTCTAAGAGAAAGGAAAAAACATAAATAACATATTTCATGACTTATTTCATGCCTCAATGGTAGTATATACCATAAATACTTATTTTACTATAAAATATAAAAGGTAGTTATAGAAAATAATATTTTAAAATAATTTGATTTATAATAAATAGGATGTATACCTTTGCTATAGGAGGTAAAATTTCCATAAAAATATGCATCCGAAGTTTTGCTTGAAATTTAGATATTGTTTGTGCAACAAATTTTCGACATAAACGTTTAATAAATATGTATATCTAAAGTTTGAACTACCACTTTCTGAAGTTTCAGATTTATATGTTCGAAGAAAAAAAAAATACTTTTTTAAAGTTTGAACTACCAAACTTTATAAAGGCCTTACTTTCTTAAAATTCTGTCTATATATGAAATTTTAAACTTATTTATCCGATTTTAGCTAGATTTTCTTATTTACATAAAGTAACTAAGTTTTTTTATAAAACATACACAAATTCGGTCCAAAGCTATAATTTTTATATAACTTGAATATAATTTTTTATTATACAGATTCTGGCCAAAAGCTACAATTTTGTATACAAAGTTTTTTGTACAGAGAATTTGGTTTAAAAAAAACTATAATTTGTATAAATTATGTTTGTTATATATATTTTATATATCATCTGTACACCTGATGTATAAAATATATACCATTTATATTTTGTATATGAAAGATTGCCCAACTAATCACATATTAAAGTTGATACAAAATTGAATTCTAGAGACCTTTAAAGTAAGTAAAAAGAGTAAGTATGAATTTGCATTATTCTACCTTTCTCTATCGGACAAATGACTGATTTCTCGATAGAAAGCACTTTATATCCGTATTAGGTTTATTCGTGTAAATCAGAATAAGTCGGACAACTTTGAATATTGAATGGTCAAAATCGAAATAAAAATAGATTGACCTCTCACTCTCAATTCTCAACCAAGGAATTATTGAATGGTTGTTTATCTGCTTTGCGGATTCTTTTTTTCTTTTATTTGATGGAAAAATTGATGTTAGCTAGGGAAGAGAAATTTTTTGTCGCATAAGTAGCGACCTGCAGGAAAGGTGTAATGATTACCTTTTTTTTGGGGGTAACATTGTGAATTACCATTAATATCAATCAAACAGTTACAAACTAAAGAGCACCTCCTCCTCAGAAGAAGAAGCTGTGAGTAATGGCATCAACGTATCTGAATTATACAGCTATTGCCTGCATTTCCGTGCTTTCCTTGCGTTCCTACTTACTTCCAGCCTATCTATTACTTCTTTTTTAATCTGTACAACTATAACCTCGATATTTACATTAGTTCCTCTAAAAAAATTCCAATTTCTAGCTTTCCAAGTGTCGTAGATGACTGCTTCCAGAATAGCTGCAACTACTTCTTTCTTGAATTGCTTCCATTTCTCCTTTTTTATACTCCTTAGAACCAGGGCTACATCTCCTCCAGCCAGTTGAATATCGGCCCATTGCATTACTGTAACTCTCACTTCCTTAGACCAACTGCACTCCATAAACAAGTGCTGGGCAGTCTCATCAACCCGATCATTGCACATACAACAATTGGTGTCATGGACTGGGATGTGCAACTGTTGTAGTCTCTCACTTGTTAGCAACCTGTTCTGATAGACCAGCCAGGTGATAAATCTGTGTTTAGGCTGAGCAGTTGCATTCCAAATAAGGTCAGCAGTTCTAATTTCCTGTGATTTTCAATAATGGCCAGGTAACTCTTTGTAATTGAGTATTGTCCTGAGCGGCTTAAGATGTACTGATCTCGCTGAAACCAATTAGCATTTCCTGCTTCAAATGATTAACTTTCTCCAATACCGGCTACTGTCCTGAGGGGTTGTATGAGCCCAAATACTTGAATATGAGTTTATATATAATCCATGCACCCATTTCACCCATAAGCTGTCTTTTTTCACAGTAAGTTGCCAAATTAACTTCTTAACTAATAAAGCCTTATTCCACTCCTTACACCTTTTGATATTCAAACCTCCACAACTTTCTGGCAAGCAAACTTTAGCCCAAGCTACTAGGGATATCTTCCTCTTCTCCTGTATACCTCCCCATATGAAATCTTTGCAGATTCTGTCCACTTCCTTTACTACACTCTATGAGAGAATGAAATTGATCCCCATAAACTGTGGATAGAGAACATGACAAAGTTGATCACTTGAAGTATGTCAGCATATGAAAGCTTCTTAGAGTAGCCAAATTTGATTCTGCTAGTAATCTTGTCAATCAACTGATGGCATTCCGATTTACTCCACTTCTTAGGTGATAAAGGAAGTTCAAGGTATCTAATAGGAAATGATCCTTCACCGAAGCCTGTTATATTCAACAGCTCTTTTTTTTCCTCCTCAGTTATCCCTGCCATGAATAAACTGGATTTGTCCATGTTAGCAGTGGTAATCCTGAGATCTTGCTAAAATGAGTTAAAGCTTCAACCACTCTTTTCACAGACCCCACCTCACCCTTGCAGAATAGCATTAAATCACCAGCAAATATCAAGTGTATAAGTTTCAACTCCTTACACATTGGATGCATTTTAAAGTCAGGCAAACCACCCATGCTTTTACACACCCTTGACAAGTACTACATTATAAGAATAAATAGTAGTGGTGACACTAGATCACCCTGTCTTAAACCTCTTCTATCTTCGAAATATCCATGGCTCTCCCGGTTCACATTAACAGAGAACTTAGTGGTTAACACACAATTTATTATCAATATGATGAACTTAGTTGGGAAGCCTAGCCCATGAAGTACCTCTGTCAGGATATCCCAGCTGACCATGTCATATGCTTTTCTCAAAACAATTTTCATCATGCATCTAGGTGTATTTTTCCTATTGTAGTGCCTTAGTAAATCATGGAAAATTAGCACATTATGGAGCATTGATCTTCCTGGCACAAAAGCTGACTGGTAGTCTGCTACTAGCTTATTCATTGCATCTTTAAGTCTTTGAGATGCATTTGTATAGTACATTGCAACAGGAGATTGGTCTGCATTGACTAGCTACATTTGGTTGTGGTATTTTAGGAATCAAAGCTATGCAAGTGGCATTCAATTGTTTCAGTAGTTTGTCATTCTGAAAGTATTCCAATTTGGTAGTAAATATATCTTCACCTATAATTGACCAAGCAGTTTTAAAGAACCCACAGCCATAGTCACCTGGCACAGGGCTCTTGTTGCTCTTTATCTAAAATGTTGCTCCTTTAACCTCTTTTTTTAATAAAAGGCTTCAACAACCGCACTTGATGGTCACCTGATAGGGTAGGTCCATTAGCTAGGAATTTCTTAACAGCTTTTTCTCTATAGTCGGCCTCCCCCAGTAGGTCTTCATAATAATCTACAAATATTTGAGCAATTATATCTGGATTGGATTGCCAATTACCATGTACATCTTTCAATTGAGTCACATTTGATCTGAAGTTCCTGTGCTTGATAACTGAGTGAAAATAGTCGGTGTTATCATCTCCCATTTGTATCCAATTTGCTTTGCTCTTTTGCTGCAAATTACCTCTGTTAGGTATGAAGACCTCCTGAACTTTTAATACTTCTAACATTCATCTTGTTGGGGACCTTGATCCCCTGGATTTAGCTGCTGCTGCTTTTGTGCTTGAATGAGGGGCTCTCTATCTTGCTTAGCTTCTGTCTCAATGTTTCTGAAATATTTAGCATTTAGCTTTTTAGCCCCTTTTTAAGAGCTTCAACTTCCTTACCATTTGTAGCATTTTACAGCCTTCCATTTGTACATCCCACCATTCCCTTACTACATCTAGAAACTGAGCGTGTTGAGCCCACACATTACAGTATTTGAAGGATCTTTTCCTCTGAGATTGGTTCTCATGTGATATGATTTTGATAGGGCAATGGTCGCTTATTCCTTCAGGCAGATATTTGGCACAACAATTTGGTATTTAATCTAGCCACTCCCCATTTATGAATGCCCAGTAAGTTTTTGAATATATTCTGTGATCAT